AGGGAAGCAGGTCAGAGGAGCGAGGAAGATAATGTCACTGTGCTGATTTCCCTGGCCACTCTCCAGTAGGATTATGCCTTCACCTTGTGGTAGCATAACTTGAGGTGGTGGTTGAATATTTTCCTCTTTTGCTCAGTCACCAGAAAAAGAAACTCCTAATTTTTGAGTTATTGAGCATGTTGTCCTTTTTGTGTACCTGCAGCAGTGTTGCTTTGTATGTGGCAGCAAAAATGAAAGGCAAACTGTCACAGAGCAGAGTTTGACCCTATGCCCAGCAGACTGGGCCTGTGCTTTGATGACAATGAGTAAGAAGGAGTTTTTCCTGTGTGCTGTGGTAATTGCATCTGGCAGATAGCTACATGGCTCCACGCCTGTCAGCGCTGCAGCTGTGAGAGGATTGTTTGATCTTTAATAGTGATGCTGAAATTCTGGTTATTTTTATGCCACCCTGCACACTTATTGGGAAAGGAAATGGGCCAAGAGCAGTGGTGGAAGCCCTCTCCTTCCAGTGACTAAAATTGAGTTGAAGTGGTGGGAACGAAGCAATGGGATGCAGCCAGCCTGTGTCTGCAAGGCGGGCAGCTGACCGCATTTGGCCTCCTTGGGTCTATAGATAACCATGTGTAGGCTGCCCTGGCAGCTTTGCCTAACCATCAGAAAAGCTCGAGCCTCCCTACGTGGGGAGCTTCAGCATGCCTGAAATGGAAGTCCTGAAGAAAAAACACATAGATAATCTGGTAAAGGCTTTCACAGGAAGGTGTAGGTTCTGCAAGGTGGATGGGCAGTCCTTTCTAATGTTTCTAACGTTCTAATGTCACATTTTCTTTGTCAGAGGAGTCCTTAGTGTCCAAATTACTTTGCAAACCTTGGCCTTGCACTCCAAGGATATTACTTGTTACGTAGCTGAACACACCTCAGTTTATCACACTCCCCTCCACACTGCAGGCCTGGATGATACCAGATGGCTGCTGGCATAAGGTAGTCCTGTGCAAGACTTTGAACTCTGCAGTTAAACGTTCACGATGATGTTTCTTTTTCCTGCAGAAGCACAGACATGCCTTCTCCTCTTTCTCCAATGCCCTCTCCTGCTGGTTCTGTGAGTTCTCAGCCAGGATCGAATGCTGGCAACTGCAGCGGCAACAACGTTGGCTCTTCAGTTACTGTCCCCTCTAACATCCCAAGCATCACCTCTTCTTACATCAACATCACTTCCTATATCCTCTATGCCTGTGATATTTGGGAACATGCTGATGCAGTGTCCAGAAAAAATAAGGGTATGTTTTTGCCCTCTAGCTTTTCTGTCTAATGTGTATGTGCTGCTTAAATCCTAACACTCAGTGTAGCAAACACCATACCTAAAGATCAAAGCACGGACTAAGTTGAAAGAGACAGCTAATGGCATATTGGCAGAGCTACGTGATGGTGATATATTGATGAGTTTTCCAATTAAAAGGTTGTCTTGGCATCTTCAAATGTCTAAGAGCTAGGGGCTGGGGGTCTCAAGGGCAGGAAACCAGCCAACTTGCTTCATGGTCACAGAAGAAGCGTGAGGGTTTGGGCGCTGTTTGCTTTTCCCTTTGGGGTGCTTAGCTTTTCTGAGTTGGATCACGTTCTTTAAGAAGCGCTTTTTCACTTGTAGCCTTGTGCTTTAGTTTCTTAGTCAGGCTTCCAGGTATTTTTGTCTTGAAAATGGTGAAGCCGGCTTCTCTCCAGAACAGACAAGCAGAGCAGCCCTTGTATTGGACTCCTTGCTGGACACGTGACCAGTGTTTGCCAGTAGCATTTCCTAAAGTTGCTGCTACTTTTTCTGTTTTACTGTTTAGTTGTTAGCAAAAGCCCTAGAATGGGTGCAGGTCAGTCTATAACCTGCCGTGCCACGTGGCATTTGCATTGTCATTATTCACAAGACACAAAGCTTTGTGAGCTAGTGCCCGCTAAGGGATGTGTTGCCGCAATCTGTAGGCAAACTGGCAAAAGAAAATGTGCATGATGTGCCTGGCTGAATTGTTGGAAGGCTGTAAAAATACTCAAGCTAATGAGACAGTTGCTGAAATTCAAAAGGGCTTTGCACATCACTGTTGAATAAAGTAACTCCAGTTGTTGTCTATCCTATGAGCAAATTTGCTTACAGCAGCAATTCATGTGTAGTATTTTGGATTATATCCTCAAAAGGCTGATAGAAGACTGTGACATAGTAGGAGCAGTGGATGCTGCTGTTAAGCCAGAGGAATGAGTCATGGAGGAATACATGTGGGAGGGCAGCCTGAGCACAGTCTTGCATCCATCAAGACTAAATTCAAATCCTGCTCTGTGTTGCCGTTTTAATGTACGGGAATAATGATGGGGTAGTAAATAATCCCAAGGGAGTGTATCTGACTCAGAGAACAGTAAATACTCGTGTAGGCTTGGCAGTTGTTCTTACTGTTCAGGACAGTGGAGGAGTTTCAGAACTAGAACTTGTTGATATTCAGTGTAACGTACAGATGCTAAGAGAGACAGAGAGTGAGGACCTAAAACTGAGAAAAAAAAAAAAAAAAGGTCACATTTTGAGTCTTTTGTGCAGTTCACAGGGCATAAGAAGAAGAGGAAAGAGCAATGGTCTTCAGCTATTGAGTTCCCTTAAACAGGGAAATAAATCCTAAGTTAGTGGAAAGGAGTTAATGGTAACTGATGTCTGAGTCACTTGAGCAGAGCTGAAGCGCTTTCTGACAGGTCCACAAGCAAGTGCTTCCAGTGCAGGACCCAACTCCTTGTCATAATTCAGAGCTGCACAGATCATGAGGGTGTAACAGGTTGTTTTCCAGCCTCTGGCCTGCCACAGCGAGGACAAGCTGAAGTTGCCTGTGCACATGTGAAATCATTCTCCTTTCACACAGTGCTGGGGTCACAGACCAGATTATCTTCTGTTTGCTCAGGCAGGGCATTTGGGTTCCTTGTCTCTGCTTACAGCTCTTCTGTCTCCCGTGGAGAGATTGCATACTCATTTTGTAATCAGAAGCAGGAAAACCAAGGGAAATGTATTCTCTGCTTCTGAATTGGGACGTATTAGAATAAAAGCATTGTGTTCTCTGCTTCTGAAGAGTTCCTTGCACAGCCAAACAGAAATTTTCAGCCTCCAGGGTCAATGTTTGTGTGTGAAAAAGGAGAATAGCCAGTTTCTGACGAGGTACTTGGCAACATAATCGAGGCTGAAGGGACTGAGGACTGGGATAAGCCCATGTCACTGGAAGGCAGGTCATGCAGGAATGTCTCAGAAACGTGACTGAGAAGGAATAGGTGTGGTAATTTCCCATAAGTCACTGTCACCAGTGCAAGGATTACCAGCACAGGGCGTGCAGCCTGGCTGGCACCTCCCAGCAGGGACTGGAGTGTGAACGCCCAAACTTTTGCCCACCTGCCACGGAGTCTCGATGTCCTTTGGAAGCCAGCGCCGAGGGAGGTGGTTCAGTGTGCGTATGCGTGTGTGAATGCATTGTCCTCACACGTGCTCTGCCCTGTGTGCTTGTTGGACTTCCCAGCCTTCTGATATCGCTGAGCTCTCTGCATTAACAACGTGTTTAGAGGGACTTGCCCGCTGACAGCCTGCTGCCGTGGCCGTTCCTCGCTGCCCGTCGTGTCTCAGACATGCCTGTTGTGTGAAACCAACCGAATGTTTTCTCTCTCTCCCTTTCCTCCAGAGTTTTTTGATGAACTCAGCACAGCGACGTGCACTCTGGCACTGAACAGCAGCCTGACCCAACTGGTGCACTACGTCAGACGGGGTTTACAGTGGCTGAGACTGGAAACAAATACGCCTTAACTGGTGCTTAAGGTGGTTAAGTACCTTGAACTCTTCTGCACTTTTGAAGCCTCAGAAACAGTCTAACTTGTTGAACTGTTGAATACAAAACACCTGCAAGGGAAAATATTTTAAGGTGGAAGGGATCTGGTTACACTGGAAAAACTTTGAAATGTGTTTTTAGGGTAGCTTTTTGCTGCCTTGAAAAAGAAGAGATGGAGGAAAGCCTCAGCATTGATGGCACCTTCTTTTAAATCGATGAAGTGCAATGAATTCTCTGAATGGCTCAATATATTCATGGTCTATAAACATTTCTACACTGAATAACCAGCAGGACAATAATCACACAAGAAGAAGTTCCGACAAGACGGAAATCTGCCTCCAGAGGTCATTATGCAACATCCCATACTCTGCAACACTCTTGTGCCCAGAAGACGTCAGAGAAGTGGTTTTGCAAGCACGGATGCAACCTTTGGTTCTTCCTTGGATGTCAAGCAGCAATCTCATCAGCACCGAACAGCACTAGATTACAAACGACCGAGTGATCTGCCTTGCCTGCACTCCAACCTGACCCTCTTGCATTTGTCAGCCAGCTGCTGCCCTGGGTATTGGAGGAAGCCACCACCTTCAGTGGGGCAAGTTCACTTTTGAAGTCATCGCTGCTTTGGTTCTCGTCTTTGCCAGATGTTCACGCGCACACGGGCCCTTTGCACCCGAACTGTGTTACTCAGGGTCTTGCTCAGTTTCAGCCTCATAAGCTGAGCACAGCTGGGGTGGCAAAATGACCAGGTGTGTTGGGAAGAGCTCTGCCTCTCCTCTATGGTGGAGGGATGCCACTCGCACTGAGGAGTCCTTGTCTGGTCATTTTGTTGGGTGGGGTGGACAGCTGTACTGGGTGACTGTAATTGCTTGGACATCTTTCAGAGTCTGAGAGCTTCTACAGGGAGAAATTGCTTCAGCTTCAGGAGGGACTGAGCAGCTGAATGTGGAACATAAGACAAATTTTGCTTTTGGATATTTGCCTGCAGCTATGGCTGGTCTTGGCAAATATCCAGGGGCGAGATATGGTACCGAGGTAGGGCACTCTTCATGTGGGAGAGAACTTGTGCTCTTTCTCCACCAAAATACAGGATGGGTGCAGCACCTTAGAACTCTGTCAAGGGAACACCAAGGTGAATAATTAGCTGTTTGCAAGCGTTTTCTCCTTGTCTGGAGCTGTGCTCTTGAAGTCGCGTTTTTGCAGATCACAGTAACCGTGAAAGCAGCCTCTGCAGCATTAGTGTGTTTGCTAAGACGCCACCCTTCTGTACCCAAAGATGTCCTGTTGTGTGACAGCACTGTCCTGCGGTCCTCGCATCTAATAGTGTGCCTTAGTCCTCTGGTTCCCTCTGGCATTCCTCGCCCTGTCGCTGACAGCCCCGTGGCAGTGGTGCGGAGAAGGAGGGCTTCCCAAACTAACTGTGCTTGCAGGGAAGAATGAGCTCCCTTTGCCACATAATTTCAGGACAGAGGAACAGGTCTGCAGAGGTGCAGCAGTACTGCCTTTGTAAATTACCTGCTTGTGCTTTAGAGGCTCACAAAAACAGACAGTAAATGAGTACCAGCAAAAGGTCTGCATTTCCAAAAGTAGTTTCTGCAGCAATGGCCCCTGCCATGGGGAAGCCTGGAGTCATCTTCGCCTCTGGCAGGAGCTGGCAGGAGAGTGCTGCGGCTCTTCCC